ACACGTTATAAAACTGAAAAAGGATGGTGTATAAAATTGATTTTAAGATAAAAATTAGACGACAAAGAATTAACTTGACGGAGCTCAAACTCAAACCACACGGCAGCAACAAACAGGAAGTGACGTCGAGTGACTGGGAGTTAAATGCTAATTAGCGATTCTGTTTACTCCGTTTTATCTTATGGCGTACACAGACCTTCACTGCTGCAGCCCACGTAGAAGGTCATGAATGAGTCTGGGGGATCTGGGATATATATTTACTCCCAAAACTTAGCCCAGAGATTCTTACAGGCCTCATTAGGTAGAACAGGAGAAGCCAGGAAAGGGGCCGTGCATCCTTCGTTCTATATTCGCTCTATTCTTTCCCTAAGCAGTGCTGTTACAGTACCCGCTTTCTTACATGTACATTCCACACATGTATTTAGCTTCCCTTCTATATTTATTTATTCAATAATTCACATATTGACGTGAAACATGCTCTGGTTTTACTCCAAGGCAAGTCCGGTTCGGTGGGACGTTTAGACAGCTGCTTCAGATTATTGTGGACCTTCGGAGAAAACGCTGCAGCCCGTTTTTGATTGACTGATGTCTGTACGATAAGTTTTGCTAGCCATCATGCTCGAGTGCTTTTTTAGTGTATGCTCACATTTAGCATTAGTCACATACAGTGAAATTATTAAATTTTCCCGTGTTTTTATGGTCAGCGGCTGATTTATAGCAGAGGTTCCAGACCACTTGCCTGGTAGACTAGTGCTAAACTCATTGGAGAATCTGTAACTTAGTGGATGTTTCTAGAAAAGGAACAGTTTGCCTAGTGGAATGCCATAGAATGGCAAGGGGATTTGAAACATGGGGGGAAAAAATGGAAAAACTGTTCAGAAAAAAAAAAAAAAAAACGTGCAACAAAAGATGGGAATTGGATGAGCTCTTGAGCTAATCCTTGCTCTTGAGAGCCCAAAGACAGCCCCTGAGGAGAGAGAGATCTGAACATGTGCTGCAGCCCACATGTGCTGCGCAGACAAATTCCCCTTGATTATGTCAAGCGATAGGGACCCGTGAACATATTTTTAGACAGGAGGAATCCAGTGCTGAAATGTTTGTATGAGGACCCTGGCTTCCTCTCCCCCCACCCCTCCTTCCTGAAAGCATAGCTGAAATTGTATGGTTACATGAGTGCACTGCAAACATGAGTTAACTGCAAAAAGAGTCTTAACATGTTTTTTTTGTGAATTACAGTGAAACTCTACTGTTATTATTAGTAGTAGAAGTAGTGATTTCTTTTTTATTAAATTAATTCCTTTTACTCAAAGTTATTATTCTTTTGTTTTAATTAATTTTATGTATTTTTAATACATAAATTAATTTGTTATTTGTTTGTTTATTTATTTATTTTTCAGTTTTACAGTAGTAATGTTTTGTTTCTGAGCACCATATGCTGGCCTTGCAATTAAAATGCCTTGCTTTTGTTTTCTTTGTCATTATTCTTATCATTTATACCATTATCACCTTGAATATCTTTAGACAGGTGTGTTATCTACAGGAAAGGTTAGAAGGTAAGCAGTGATGCGCTTGTCGCTTGCCAACAAACACTCCTGCAGATTGGGATGAGTAATGTTTTACTGGAAGAGATAACTTGGGGCACATTAGTTTAGCATGACACCTGTGTTTGCTCCGTGAAGCTGAATAAAGGATGAGCTTCATCTTCAGAAATGACAAGCTCTCACAGCCAAGATGCTTAACCTCCAGAATGCAGTTTAACGCTTCTTGGACCAGGAGCAAGAGATGGAGGACTCTCACTCTTCATCTCTGTCGGGTGTTGCCGTTTCTGTTCTGTTCCACATTAATGCTGGGAAAGATCCTGAGTAAACCGGAGTGAGGGTTTGAGAGCAAAGATGAGTTTGATTTAACTTAAACATTTCTGTGTTATTGATCTATTACTTTAGCATTATTTGTATAGTATTTATTAATATTTTGAATTAGCTTTATTATTATATTTTAAGTTTTCATTTTAAATTGTAAGTTTTATTTATTTTATGTGGTTTTGTCATTTTTATTAGTTTTTTTTTTTTTTTCAGTTTTAATTTTAGTATTTCAACATAACTTATTTTGTTTCAGTGAACTACCAATGGTCTACACTGGATGCGGCATGACACGACACGACAAATCCCCGACAGAAAACTGCTGCTGCATTTTATTTTTGACGTATTGACAAAAATTTCAAATGATTTTTTACGGTCGCTTTGCCGCGTCCAGTGTACTAGACAGACTTTAGCCGTTGCGGCGCAGACACGGTGTTACTCACCTATCGAGAAGAAACAAAGCAACCTCGGCGTCTGATCGCAGGCCTTCCGCTCCTTGAGTTCTCTCCAGCGCTGGAAAGCTGATCCAATATTTACAGGGGTCCTACTTCTTGCCTTAAGCCTTCTTTTGTTCCGCAGACGTTTTCCTCTTTTGTTTTTTTATCTGCCATCTATCTTTCTGTTGCTCGGCTCGGCTAATGTCCGTCCTGTGCACTGAACGCTCTCTCCTCCACATCATGAGTAGACACGCCCCTTACTGCTGATTGGCTACAAGTTTGTTTTGCTACTCTGCCTGAATCAGTTTTCTAAAGCATTTTTGAAAACTCACTTACCCCACCTTTAAAATAAAGTGTTACCAAAATTACTAATGAATTTCTTTGAATTTCAGTTCTTTTTGATTTACTAACCTCATCAAACCAGACTCAAACCATACCTATATAGAATGCAGATCTCTTATTATCCTACTTTTGTGTTTTAAGAGGAGTGAGCTGGTGTGTGTCTGTGAGAGAATGTTATTAAAAACCAGCATATCCGGTCACACGGCTCCCATGTGAACCCCGGACACACACTCCCACTCCTGTGCTCGGCTCGTTTTTGCGACCGAGTGAGCAATCTGTCACGTTCCCCTGGAGCCCCGTTGGAGCCACGTGTGTCCGCAGCCTGGTCTGAGGACATCAGCAGAGCTAACCGCACTCCAGAACGCCAGCATGGGGAATAGTGGGAACTGTGGTTCTGGCGAAGTGCATTTACCATGCACCCATGAAGCCACAAAATGCTCTACGGTGCTGAGAACCGATAATTTACACCGATAATTTTTTTTACAAAAAAATGCCGCCGCAGAGGCCTCTGCTTATGTGCACTGTTTGCGGTAGTTGCTCATATGGGCGGTGCTGTGGTATAAAATGAAAGGGACGGGTGAGTACACAAAATCAGTCAAGATAATAAAACTGTCTGAATGGCCTGGATGGGAGGAGTCTTGCTTTCGTGCTCTGTTAAAATGTATGAGGGCCAAGAGACATTAAATGCACGACACTTGCTTTGGGTATTGTGAGAGCTTGGGAGAGCAGTAGAGGTTTTTTGTAACATTGTTAATGAGAGAAGATGTTATAACAGTTGTGAAGAACAGAAAGAGAATAGAACCACATAGCAGACAGTGTTGCTGATAAAGCATTCACACTTTGTGATTAAGCAGGGTGTTAATTGTCAGATTTTTTAAAAAGTCTGAAGCACCTTAATCACTGATGGAAGAATGAAAAAAAAGTTTAAAAGTTTTGGGTTGGTAAGGTTTTAAATGTCTTTGAATAAAGGCTCTTATGCTCACCAAGGCTGCATTTATTTGATCAAAATAAAGTAAAAACTGCTTTACAATAAAAAAATAATAATTTTAATCAAAAAAGTTGTGACTTTCCTCATAACAGTAATAATAATAATTATTATTCTTAAAAAATAAACTAATTAGTATTTAAAATAATTATTATTTATAATATTATGTAAATCTTGGATTTATTTACCCCCCTTCTTGGTGTTTTATGTGCCAAAATTTGCCAAATCTGTTTGAGACCTGGATATTGGAATCTTTTCATGTAGTGTGTTCTCTCTTTTTGTATATACATTGAATTGTAGCAAAAGTAGTTGTGCATATATTTGCATGTATAGCAATTCAGTAGTCGACCCCTCAGAGAGCAGCTCATCTCCATATGGGCTTATTGAATGCCTGAAGCAACTTTAGGTGGATAGGTCTCTTGTCTTCATTAGCCATGCCAGTCTATTTTCAATGAGGACAATGCCATCTGGTAGCCATTCCCCACTCCAAGGCGATTCGTTTTCCCCCAAACTCACACTCAAAGATCAAACATACCCTCCAGTCCTGACCTTTTACAAAGAGAAATAACTATGTTTACCCAAAACATCATCATCGTCTCATTTTGCATTGATTCTTTTGTCTGTTTTTGCTCATTATATGACATTTATGCGAGTTATTAAATTTCCAACCCTCTTATTTTTCTTTAAAGAACAAAACCACCATACTAAAATGGTCTGTTATGAACATTTCTGGGAAATAAGTGAGATACAAAACAATGAGGGTTTTTCCCCGTACATTTGGCCCATTATGAATATCCGATATACCTCAAACGTCTTTGTTGCACTGCTAATAGTCCCATGAGTAACGGACCTCCTCCAGGTTCTAAATCCACAGGGAACCATGATTAGGTACTTTCCACAGTGCTACATCATTGAGATATTTTGGTAAATACGCATTAAACAAACTCCTGGGCGGTCTACTATAATCTGTTTGAGACCTGGATATTGGAATCTTTTCATGTAGTGTGTTCTCTCTTTTTGTATATACATTGAATTGTAGCAAAAGTAGTTGTGCATATATTTGCATGTATAGCAATTCAGTAGTCG